TATATTTCCTACAGGCTAGTTGATAAATGCATATTTATTTTAAACATACATAAATTTCTTGTCTAGATATGGGTCCTGTCCACAAGATATTCCATTCATATATATAGATATTTCAGAAGTCACAATCGAAAACCAGAGTTGTTTCAGATAATGTGTAGAAACTGTGGGGAGATGTGTAAAATTAAGTTTACCTTGTTAGAAGTCCATTTCACACTGTTCATGGAAAAGCACAGGAGAACTGGAGAAGAAAGAGCGAACATTTCTAAAGGCAAGACCCCTGAGTGCCGACTGGATGCCCTTCTCAGTTTCCACATTTCTGGGTTGTTGTGGTGTCTGTCCCAGATTTTGAATAGGAAACTTACACAGTTCAGCTGAGGGTTATGAGCTTTATAGACACTGTGCTTTGAGAGACATTTATTACAGAAGTCCAAGTGGGGGACTATTATGGCTTTGTGGGTAAAATCAAGGAACTGAGTTTGGATCCCCAGAACACACACACACACACACAAAACAAAACCAGTTTTTTGAGATAGAGTGGAACAGACACAGGAGGAGTGTAGGGCTTGCTGTGAAGCTAGCCTAGATGAGAAATGCCGAGCTGAACTCAGGTTTAGTGAGAGACCCTGTCTCAAGGCAGTAAAAGGAGATTGTGCTAGTGCAATATGAAAACATTTTTCTCTGGCCTCTAATGCAAACACTTGAATCGTGTAGTGCTCAGGGTCACAGACAAACCCAGACAGTTGGAACGCCACTCTTGTTTTCCAAGTAAGTCAGAATATTTTAATTCAGGAAAAGATTTAGAAATAAATGTAAAAAATTTTAATACTCAACCATACAGTTTCTGGTTTGGTTTAAAGGATTTCTGTGTATTTACTATTTTTAAAAAATTGTTTAAAATAATTTGATCCAGGTAATAGATTAGCCTGTACTTCCAGATTAAACCATATAGTACAGTAATTGAGTTAGACGGAGAGAGTTGAAATCACAGTTTACAAGCCATATTAGGACATTGCTTGCAAGAGAATTGCTCGGACGTTTATGCATTGTCTTGCATAAGTTAAAACAGGCAGTTTTAATATCTAGAAGACAGAAATAATTCTGAAGTAGGGCATGAAAGAAAAAAAAAAAAAAACCAGGCCTTATAAAGTGGTTTTGTTAGCCGGGTGTGGTGGTGCACGATTTTAATCCCAACACTGAGGAGGCAGAGGCAGGGGGATCTCTTCTTCGTTCCAGGACAGCCAGGGCTACATAGAGACCTTGTCTGTAAAAATCAAAGCACCCCCCAAAAAAAAAGTTCTTTTTCATTTCTGGAACAAGAATTTGACAGTAAGATAAGCTCTCCTCTTATTTTAATGTGGGTTCTTGTGTAAGCTGTTACCTCCCACACCTGCCTTAAACTGAGCTTTAATGAAATGACCTGAGAGGTGTGCTCAGCACATCTCCACAGTAAGGAACTGTTGTGGAAGAAGTGGCCTTTAGAATCATTTTCCAGCATGATTAAAGCACAGTGCCATTTGCATAGGCTCGGGGATCTTGGGCAATTGTGACTGTCCTATATAGAGATCTTACTCCTTCAACCCGATGCTGTGAGAAATAGAAAATCACAGAAAATAAGCAAGTTTGGGGCAAGAGCCTCTTTTGTGCCACCTGGACAAGGTCCAGGTGAAATTGCATGTCGCACAGAGCCCTGGCCACTTAACCAGCCCTGAATGGCTGCCCAGAGAGGGCCCTGGGTTGGAGGGTGCTCGGCTGATCTGTGAACATTGTCATTCAGGTCTGGTTTCTGGTAATTAGGCACTCCTGGCTGGGCTCGGCTGTCAGTGAGCCTTTATGACAAATTGCAAAATCTGCACAGCCTTCTGAGAGATGGACAAGTAGGCTCCAATGACACTACAGGAGATATTGGCAGAGAGAAGTTTGAAAGGGGATGCTCACAGAGCCACTCCCCCAAACCGAATTCAGAAGCCCTTCTCCTCTAAATGCTCTGGAAAAGATACATTCAGTTACAGAGTTGGGATCTGAAAAGATTTTGTCAGGCTGGAATGATGGGCTCAATTTAATAGTGTGAAATGGGAGTAGAAATAAATGGAAAGTTTTGTATTGGGGGCTTAAAAAATACCAGCAGTTCTGAAAGGAGGGGGGAAACAACAGGGTGAGGGGTGTATCTGAGGAACAGCTTTCACATGGTGGCTTACTACCATCTATAACTCCAGTCTTGGGGGATCTGGCATGCTTGTCTGGCTTCAGTAGGCAGTAGGCATACATATGATGCACAGACATGCTGATAAACACCATATCCAAAGCTGAGTGTTGGTGGTACACACCTTTAATACCAGCACTCGAGAGGCAGAGGCAGGCAGATCTCTGAGAGTTCGAGGCCAGCCTGGTCTACAAAGCAAGTTCCAGGATAGGCAGGGCTACACAGAGAAACCCTGTCTCAAACAAAGCCAAAAACAATCCCCACCCCCCCAAATTAGCAACCATATACATAAAATAAAAAAAGTAATAAACGTAGTGGTAGACAGCATCTTCAGAGTGGGGTCTAGGCTGAGAGGGTGACAGGCACGCTCTGCTTCACACTGTGACCATTTCTAGTTCTGCATGCTCTTCTGAAAGGGAGGCAGGCAGAGGATAGTCCAAGGGTACAGGAGGATACAAAGCCTCCCTTGAAAGCCATATAGGCTATGTGTGAAGTCCTATAAGAAAGAGCACCTGGAGGAGTCTAAAAGATGACAAAGTTAAGAGTAAGTAAGGACAGGTTAGGATAAGAAGACAGTTCTTGAGCTCTTCAGGTGTGCATTGTGTTTGGAAAATCAGACACAGAATACAGTCTATGTGACAGTGCCATGATAGTTCAGGTGCATTTTCTGCTTCCAATATGCCATGTTAATGCATGCCTTGAAAGTGATGCAGGGGCCAGGTGGTGGTAATCCAGCACTTGGAGGCAGAGACAGGAGGATCTCTGTGAGTTTGGAGGCATCCTGGTTTATAGATCAAGGATAGCCAATGCTACAAAGAGAAACCCTGTCTCAAAAAACAAAAACAAAAAAAGATTAAGGAAAAAAAAAAAAGATGCATGATCTGGCTCAACAAGGCCAGAGAAGCACAAGCTGGATTGATTGACTTTAGTCCTGGTCTTCCCAAAGGAGCGGATTAAAGGCCGGGAAATAATGAATCTCGAACAGGTTGAAGTGACTCACTGGACTACTCTTAGAAGGGTCCATTCTAAGAGTTTTCAATCTCAGAGCATAGTTCTTCCATATCACACTGTTTAAAATTTCCGTTTTCTGACAGCATAAGAATGAAAGGTTTTTCTGTTCAGATGTTTTTTCTTAGTTCAAGGCTATAAAGCTTGGAGAAGGTTGAGTCACTCCCCCCTATATGTACACATACACAGACATGAGAACAGTTAGCTGCTCGTGCAAACACCACATTCTGGGCGTCTTCTGCGTCCATCATGCTGTTGAGTTTCCCTTCATTGCTCTACTGGACAGCCACAAGATGCTCACTCTCCTGTGTCTATAAAACTGGTGACACAGGGAGAAGCTTGGATGAAGAAGAAAATGACACTGAGATATAAAGTCTAAAACAGGACTGGGCTCATTTTCTTTCAGACTACAATAGAGCGTGTGTGTGTCCCTGTAGGTCTGTGTGTCTGTGTCTGTCCCCTTTCCAACTCAGCACTCCCAGTTCTTCAGGTGCTAGCAAACAAGATTACACACTTCCTTCCTTCCTTCCTTCCTTCCTTCCTTCCTTCCTTTCTTCCTTTGTTCCTTTTTTCTTTTTTTTTCATGGTTTCTTTGTGTAGCCCTGGCTGTCCTGGAATTTGCTCTGTAGATAAGGCTGTCTTCAGAGATCCATCTGCCTCTGCCTCCATAGTGCTGGGATTAAATGTAAAGTTAAGTGATCTTTATCTTAATTTCCCAGACAGTATGCTGTTTTTCTGTCAGGAATAAACTGAAAAAGCTCCAACTAAATCAGAAAAAATCAAGGTCTCATCTAACCCAGGCTGATCTGAAATTTCTGACCCTCTTACCTCCACCTCCCAAGTGCTGTCGATACAAATGTGCAATATCATACTTGGTTTATATGGTCTAGGGAGCTAGCCCAGGACTAGGCAAGCACACCACCAGCCACCTCCAATTCAAAATTCTTTTTTTCTTTTAGGATTTATCTTTATTTGATGTATATGAGTGTTCCGTCTGCATACATTTATGTATGTGCACTGCATGCATGCAGTGTCCATGAAGACCAGAAGAGGGCATCAGATCCCCTGGAACTGGGTTTCCAGAGGATTATAAACAGCCACATGGGTACTAAACTGAACCTGTGCAAGAGCAGCCACTGCTTTTAACCATTGAGCCATCTCTCCACCCTCTCCAATTTAAAATTCTTCAATCATATTTCTAATCTTAGTTTCTTGGGCAGTGCTTCTAAATCTGTGGGTCTCTAGCTCTTTGGAGTAGCATATCAGATATCCTGCATACCAGATGTTTACATTATGATTCATAACAAGAGCAAAATTACAGCAATGAAATTATTTTATGGTTGGTCACAACATGAGGAACAGTATCAAAGCGTTGTGGCATTAAGAAGGTCGAGAACCAGGGCTGGAGAAATGGCTCAGAGGTTAAGAGCACTGACTGCTCTTCCAGAGGTCCTGAGTTCAATTCCCAGAAACCACATGGTGGCTCACAAGCATCCGTTATGAGATCTGGTACCCTCTTCTGGTGTGCAGATATACATGGAAGCAGAATGTTGTATACATAATAAATAAAATCTT